GGCCATGCCGGGCCCCACGTAATATGAAAGCTGCTATGCATATATTAAACTATTTCATTGAACAGTACAGAATTTTGAACTAACTCTCAAACTGTGGAAAAGTAAAATATGGAGGTTGAGACGTGAGCGGGTTTTTGTTTTTTTCCACGGTTAGTTTTCAATGCTTTACGGATTTGTTACATCAAACATAACTCTTTTTTTACTCTATATTAAGATCAGATAATTGTTTGAATCAATAACATCACTCACCAGAATTGAATTAATTTTACAATCAAAATAAGAATAATCAATTCATGGTAGCTAAGAATTATATAACTTTGTTATCGACCAGTAGTGAGACAAACGTGTAAGTAAATTACTTTCACACGTTGGTTCTAAAAGGGAAGGAATGACTTAACTTTTCAAAAATCTAACAACTATTTTCTAGAATATTTTTGCATCTTCTCATATTGCACAAGTGTTAATGTTACAGTTAAACCTCGTCTCACTACAGGTACCACTGTTGTTGGTTGTTTAAGAATACATTTAATCAAATAACTTTTAATAACTGTCAGAGATCAAAATTCAACTATAAAAGTACATATATTAATTCAACTATGATATTTTCTCTGTTATAGAAAGAGCGTCGCGGGTTCGAATCTCTGTCGCACCAAACAAGCTCGCCCTTTCAGCCGTGGGGGCGCTGTAATGTGACGGTCAATCTCACTATTCGTTGGTAACAGAGTAGCCCAAGAGTTGGCGGTGGGTGGTGATCACTATCTGCCTTCCCTCTAGTCTCACACTGCTAAATTAGGGACGGCTATCGCAGATAGACTTCGTGTAGCTTTGCTCGAAATTCTAAAAACATAAACCTGTTATAGACATTACCAGTTAATCCGAAGAAAATGCTATTGAGACCATAAACGAAAAATAGTTTTCTTTAAGATCTTGGGTGGATTAGATAAATTGGTAAGTTTGAAGTGAGAAGGAAGAAAATACATAAAATAAGCAACTACCGTCAATTATATCAATGTTATTGAAGTACATTTGGTAGATTTTGTCTATGTATGTGGTGTATAAATGATAGTCATTGAATATTTTTTTACATATTAATTTACCAGAGCTATATTTTTTTTAAAAAAAAGAAACTTACTTGGTATTCCTGACACCAGCTTCAGCGGACGTAAGACTCTAATGGCCCGCAAAGTTCTCAAATCTACGTCTAAGTTATCAGGGGCGTAGGAGGTAATAAATCTGAAAGAGGGAAGGAAATCTAGTCTAACTACATCAACTACTTCTATTTCTACAAAACTACTGGCAACAAAAAGGGAAGGCAGGGAAATATTTACATTCAGAAAGTTCAGGAAGTACGTTCTAACGAAACCAAATAAAGGAGGAACCACTGAGTATCAAATGGTCACTACAAATATGGGAAAATAATATAAAAAATGTTATTTCTTTTTACATTGCTCTTGATTTTCACATTGGAGATGCAGAATACGACAGGTGTTAACGAAAGGAATTCCCTAATCTTGCAAGCTTCGACAGCAAGATCTCTAATGACTGCCACAAGGTCGAATCGACTCGCAAAGAATCGAAGAGATAGAAAAATTGCAAAAAGTCACTGTTTTCTTTATCTTAAAGTAACAGTGCTTTTCTCTACTTCGTAATGATGGTAGTACGAAAATATGGTTTTGAACTTTTTAATAGCTACTTTTTTTAATTAAATCGAACCTTTAACCTGTTTTCTCCATTTATGTCAAATAAGTAATTCATAACCTTTCCATTTTATACAATTAACCCTGTTGCAACAAGGGGATATCAATAAAATCTTCATTATCTGAATTATTAAAGTTTTATAATAGAACACAAAAAAATTAAACATTCAGAAACTTGTCATTTGTGTCCAAAATATGGCATCTACGAATTCACTGATGCTTATCAGAGGGAAGGTGTTAGTTATTACTGGAATCATTCTAAGCTCTAGGAGATTATTTTAAATTTTGGTATTAACCTTGAGTGCTAGTTATTACAGGAAACATTCTACATTCTAAGAGTTTTTTGTTTTTTTTTAATCTTGGTATTGACCCTGAGTGTTAGTTGTTACTGGAAACATTCTGCATTCTAAGAATTTCTTTTTAAATTTTGGTATTGACTCTGAGTGTTAGTTATTATTGGAAACATTCTATATTTTAACGTTTCTTTATTTCAAATTATTTTACAATTTTATACTGTAGATATCAGATAAATTGTCAACATGAAAATCCTCTTTAATTCCTTCATATTCCTTCTCAAATAAAATAGGGTAAAGTATGTACCAGTAAAAGTTATTACCTCCAAAAAGGGAGGGGGGTTATAATGTTATTTTTTTCCAAAAGCCAATGCCTTCTTTTTGAAAGGTTGTTTGTCTAGATAATTAATTTGCACCTGAGATCTGTATATATATATATACCCCATGTCATGATTTTTTGAAGCTCCAAACTTAGTTTGGCTGTTGGACATAAGATACATTTATGCATGTGTTGTACTACAGATATTTAATTGAGAAATACAGTCACACACACTTCAAAAAAATCACTTTGAAAATAATATTATTTTGTCAAAAGTCCAAAAATTCTAAATTCCTTGTAACTTCTGTGAGCATGTACTATAAACCTAATGTGAAACGAAAGAGTTAATCATTATGAAACCAATATAAGTTACAACAAAAAGAAGGATTGAACCATTATGTAACCAATAGAAGTTACCATGAAGTGAATGAATTAACCATTATGTGACCAGTATAAGTTACAACAAAAAGAAGGATTGAACCATTATGTAACCAATAGAAGTTACCATGAAGTGAATGAATTAACCATTATGTGACCAGTATAAGTTACAATGAAGAGAAAGATTTAACTTTTATGTAACCAATATAAGTTACTATGAAGTGAATGAATTAACCATTATGTAACCAATATAAGTTACAATGAAGAGAACGATTTAACTTTTATGTAAACAATGTAAGTTGTCATGAAGTGAATGAATTAACCATTATGTAACCAATATAAGTTACAATGAAAGAAGGATTTAACTTTTATGTAACCAATATAAGTTACTATGAAGTGAATGAATTAACCATTATGTAACCAATATAAGTTACAATGAAAGAAGGATTTAACCATTATGTAACCAATATAAGTTACCATGAAGTGAATGAATTAACCATTATGTAACCAATATAAGTTACCATGAAGTGAATGAATTAACCATTATGTAACCAATATAAGTTACAATGAAAGAAGGATTTAACTTTTATGTAACCAATATAAGTTACTATGAAGTGAATGAATTAACCATTATGTA